GGCTCCGGGGCGGAGCTGGGTGGGCCGGAGGCCAGACCGAGAGGCCCCGCGGAGGTGAGCCAGGCTTCTGCGGAGCGCTGGTGGGTCGCAACGCTGCGGGCGTTCCGGGTGGTGGTCTTAGCGAACCTGGCAACCGAGGTGAGAAGTGTCCGCCTGGTGGGAGGGGGCTCTACCTTGGCTTGGCGGAGGGGGAGGCGCGCCCCCGAGATTTGCGGAGGCGGGGTCTGGGCGGGAACGGGGAGCTGGGGCTCAGATGAAGGGGTTGGAGGGTCTGGGGACTCGAGCCCGAGTCGGAGGACCGGGACGGGGAGGTTGCTGGGGCAGGATTTTCAAGGCGAGGGAGTTTGAAGCTTGGACCTGGGGTGTTTGGAGAAGCGAGAGAACCAAGGGAAGGAACTTTTGGGGTAGGAAATCTGGAGATTAGACCCCTTTGGGGTCTTGCGGACGGGTTGAATTCGGGGCTTTTTAGTGTTCTGGAAAAGGTGTGAGAGGTTTGGAACTGGGCTCCTGAGCATTTGGAGCAGTGAGAGGACTCAAGTCAAGGAATCTTGGACTCCCAAGACGTCTTGACGGAGAAGGGGTGCTGGGGAGAATCCCGTGTTCGGGTCTTGGAGCTGGACAGCGAGTTTGGAGGTGAAACCCAGAGGCGTCTGGAAGTCGGGAGCAGAGGAGAAAGTTGGTGGGGGAGTATCGAAATGGAGACACCTCGTCCCTGAACGGGGTGGATCGGAGAGCATTTGTCGTCTTTGAGCGATGTTGGGACCTGGATCTCTGGACCCGAGGGCAGTTTGGGGGCAGAATCCCGAGCCTTTCTACGGGTCGGAGGGACCGAGAGAAAGCAGTTTTAGGGCCGGAGTCTGGGGTGGGGGAGGGGTGCTCCGGGCGTGCAGCTCAGGCTCGCCGCCCCGGAGGCAGCGGAGGGCGGGGCTCGGCAGGCGCCCGGCAGCTGGACGTCCGGGTTCCCTTCCCCCACTCACCCGGGCCCCTGTGCGCATGCCCTAAGGGAGGGCGGGGTGGGCGTCTGTCCCCTTGGCGAGCGGCGCCCCCTGGGGATTGTAGTGCGTGCCCGACGTCGACTCGTGTACCTGTC